AATTATATATATTGATCAGATAATATCAAACATTCAAACGTGACTTATAGATACGCTGCACTCATCGTCAACAGTTTTCATAGGTACCTATTTTTCAATATCTGTATAAAAATAATTAAAAATTCGATGACACTTCTTATATTTTAATGTCCTTACTCTCCAGTATACAATAAGTGTCTTCTAAAAAAAATTCACCATTGTACTACACATTTCTATTAAATTATTTTTTAAACAATAGAAATCACATTTCAAACACACTTTTATATACGACGCATATTTTGAGATTTTTAAGGCATTTTTTGCTATTTTTTAGCCTTAGGGCATTACAATCACAGCCTCAGTTATTATTATATTTTGTTTTATTACCATTATACCTACTCTTATTAGACAGAAACCACCGCCACATTGTCATAGACGTCGTATTTAATTGGCAATTTTTTTTCTTCTCCCCGACGGTCGCGATCCACCGCCGGAGAAGGCCGATTTTTCTTTTCTGGAATCAGCCGCTCGACAACCGGTTGACAACCCATAACTAACGAGACGCGATCTCCCGCAATAACGACGAAAAACTACTCATGATATAAACTCGCTAATAGTCTCCCGGGAATGTGCTCCGAATGTTAAAACGTATTTTTTTCTACCCCGCCGTGTTATTATTTATTTATATTTACTTTTGTTGTTTTTTTTCCGAATAACCTTTAGGCCCGCGAATGGTTTGGTTCGCCTCTTTTTGCGCTGTGACCCGTCCCGGCCAATCGCTAATGAGCCGCTTCGGATATAGAATCCATAATTAATTTCCGTCGATTCGTGACGATCGCCGTCCATCGCCATAATAATGCAACCGTACACTGCGGGACCACGGCAGACCGCAAGTATACGGCGAGTCGTCCGCGCGCTATCACTAATTGGATAGACGTTCGCCTCCGCTGATACACACACGCACACACAAACACACTGCACGATAATTGGGTGGAAATAATTCAGCTATATGTTATTTATTTTTTATTTTTTTTCGCGTACTACCTAACTGAAGTACACTGTTGTCGTCGTCGACGTATGCCATATAATAACCATACGGTTTAAGACGACGACGACGTATAACCGCTTAATAATGGCCTCTCTAATAATCCTTATGATGAAGTATGTCTTAACAAATATAGGAGGTACGTACGGTGTACCCATCTATTAAATATTTGAATGTCTGTGTACTCGCACCAACGGTAGTTACATATATTATTATTATATTATAACGATATAGGTGATATACATGCGATAGCCGATGCGCTGACACCAATTTTTCGGCAGATGAGAATGGATACCATTCTAGTATGGTACAAACTGCAGGTAAACTATCCGGAATGATGGCCTTTCGTGTTTTCCTGTACGGACTCCTACTACTTTCAACTGACACAGGAAAACGGACAATTTTGTTACACAGTTATTTCAGACCTAACATTTGCAGGAATTGGCCCGATATTGCAGTCTGCTCTTCAATCTGGCTTGATCCAATGATTAATTACCTATATATATTATGTACCAACATCATAAGTCTTTGGTGAGTGATGTTTGATCGGGTTGAATGACTGATGACTAGGAAATACAAATAATATATACATAGATTTTATATAACAGGTATGCATAGTATGCATATTTGAATCGTTTCAACGCGTATTTGGGTGATGGATAAAAAATTAACCTTACACAAAATTAGTGCTGAAGTTATGAATTTTAATGTTTCATTTAAAATATTTAGATTTTATACATGAATCATAATATAATAAAAAAGTTCTTTGAAAAGCTATTCGGTATAATATGTTTTCAATTAAAAGTCACAAGTCATAAACATATTATGGTGTGGGATACAGAAATACTACAAGTATCCTCACTAATCAACCTCAGATCATCAAACGAAAATTATACGCACTTACCTGATCTAAGTACGTTATATTTAATATCTCATGAGGTATTACATATGATTTTTTTCACTATGGTGTCACCAAATAATTGACCTAATCCACAAGGAGGAGAATAAGTGACCTTCAACTTTCAAACCTAGTATAATTCAAGGAAAACTGTCGATGTTTATATCATATTGTAAATTTGTTGTGAGAGAGATTCAAATTAAACTCTAATTTAATAATGTATAACATAGCAGACAGAAATTGTCCAATTATATTCCCTGTACCATATTGAATTCAAGGGTGTCCCTAAACAACAGGAAATGTGGTGTCCAGGTTGGTTTTTGATTTAAATTTACTCAACAAATAAATAAAATAAAAAAAACCCATCCCATATAAATATATAAATAATAAATGGATATTTTTCTGTCAACACTGTACATTATAATATGTACCTACCTGTATTATAATTTAATAAACGCAGTATTTAAATAAGATTTATGTTACTAATAAACGAATATTTTCTATACAAATTATAATTAATATAAAGATGTAACCAATGTTATATTCAAAGTTCGAAATATATTTAATCTATATGTGATTCAAATATAATACTCACCTCCTTTTTTCTTCAAAAAAGGGTGTATACCTATTCCATCCTATTGTATTTTTGCGCTATACTATTATAAATAATGATGTTTCTTGGTGTGAATTTTTTAAGATATATATATATTATGTATCCTTAATATCCATAAGTATAATATATAATATGTATTTATATTTTACTTTTTTATTGACATATATTGTGCGTATATTATAATAGGTAAGTACCTACATCATACATATTTTTTTGATATTCAAAGTGACTGGTAGCACATATTTTTAAAACCTTCTTTACAAGAATAATAACCCTAACTGTTTGCACAATCAATAATATTGAACAATTTTTTTTTCAAATATTTCCATACAGAAAATATACTATGTCATAACTAATAAATCTTTCAATGTATACATTTTAAGGTTTTTTTTAACCTATTTTTCATATCATTATTTAAATCGAAAATTTGAATTCAGTATTATAAATTGTAATTCAATTTTCTTTCCAGCAATCACAAACTTTTTTTTTAAGAAGGTTAATAATGTTAATATTTTAGTGTTAGAATCGTCGATGATTGTACCTGAGTAATTTTATTCCACTCACAACTAAAAGCACAATAAAGCACATTTCAAATCTGAATGAACATTTCACAATTTATATTCAATAAATACACTTCTATAATACTTACTTCCTATAATAACTTTATACTGTGCAAATTCATTTTACTCGATTAATAGAGGTACCTCGTGATTAAATTATGTGCAGACCGACTTTCTTTATACAACAGAATTTTAAGTCTTTGGTATTAAACCATGACATTTTAATACAAGGTTACGTATGAATTACATTATTATGCTTTATTTGCCGCCATATCTAATAGGCGTCGAAGACCGTATTTTATGAATTTTTTTTACATGCAATTAACATTTTTAAAACGTCCGAAAAACTTTTAATAAATCGAACACAACTCAGTATCGTTTTTTTCTTCTGCAATGATTTCATCATTACTATTCAACTACTTAGGTATTGAATTATTTCAAAAATGTAACCAACAATCATACCTTTTTTTAACTAGATATAGTTTATATATACCCTTAATAAATAATATACCAATGAATAATCTATACGATTTAATTTTAATAATTTCACAATATAATTTTAATTAATAAATTCTTGATACATTTTTAATTTGTTACCACTTATTATAGTAGACTGATAATAATGTGATCACTATAGAAGGTTCCCATTCAGCCATTTGCATTAGACTATAATATTTTAATGTTGAGTTCAACTACGGCGTATAGTTACTCGATCTTACATTTGATGCAATAGTGCATATTATATGTACCTAATTGAATACGGAATTTGTATACAATATCTAATACAATAATATATTGATATAATTAAAGTGAACCTGGTGGGTAGAGAACAATGCACGCACATCCATTGTTTTTATATCGAATAGCTAAGAAAAAAAATAGTAACTGCTTAATGTAAAAGTTGTTTTTACTTAGTGAACATACAAAAATTTTTGAGTAGATATATCGATATACTATAATATAGTTACTATTATAAAAGTATTTCAAAATATTCTTATACATATAACTATACTTTTAAGTGTACTTCAAACGAAATAATATTATAATTTTGCATGTACTAAATATTGTTACCGTTTACAATACATTATTTATCAACACTTATTTCATTTTATTTTATATTCAGTATAAATAGTGATCGTAATCTAATCGGATTTACATTTATAATATTTACTAATGTACCTATTTAATTGTAGACCCTGTTGTGTACAGCTTGGATTCAACTATATAAATCGTTTCATTTAAACTGAATTTGCTACGAAGTTTCAATGAAGTGAAATTTTGATTTAATATATAATCAATAAAAGACCAACCACAATCGTAGAAGAATTTGTTTTTAAAATAATTGCACTGAAATCTGATGTGAGTGTAAAGTTCACGATATGAAACTTTCTTTTATTAAAAATTTGAAAAATCGATATGTATTTTGAAAGCGTCTGTTAGATTTGATAAATTATAGTAACGGTTCAAACTTCAAACAAAATAATTACACACCAAACAGCCCGATCGAAAACTGATAGATTCATAATATTTAATATGTAATAGGTAATAACGATCGATTCTAGAGATGATTCGTTATCCAATAATCAGCGGACAAGCGGAAACATATACCTATATCACATTATATATAATATCAATCATTAAACGTACGGCAGTACGGCACGAAGACGTATATAAATCATAAATATATCGTCTGCGTGTCCAATATTTACGTCCAAAGGATTTTTTATTTAATTTTAATCGTCGAATTTATTATGATATGTATACAATATACATCACCTTGGGTACATACCGACCAATGTAGGTTGCGATTTTTCACCGATCGTGTTCTGGTCCCGCCCATTCGAACCGGTTGCATCTCCGGGGTGAGAGGGGAGCCTGGTGCACCAGGCCTAAGCCCATGTGCAGCTTTTCGCACACGTTCAGTACACACGAACCGTGTCCGTCCGCTGTCGATTTACACACATTCGGGTAGATGCGGTCCAATGAAGATGACGATGAAGAAGACGATGACAACAAAAACAATAACAAACAAAGTCGACGGGGTGCACGTATAATAATAATATATCATAGTGTTGTGTGCGATCCATTCGCGTCCGTTATTAAACGTCGGTAATGATTAATGTATACCTATATCGGCACGATACATAAAATTTTAATAGTGTTCTGTAGTCATTTACGGCGCCCGTCGTCACCAAGAGCAGTGCGAGGAGGATTTAGTGCGCTGCAAAGGACCCGAGGTGAGTCCGGCGGGCGTTCAAGTCTCTAAAACACGATTATTAATTTCTTATTCTATATTATTATACTGTTCTATTATAATATTTTATACATATTATTTTACGATATTACATATCCTACCTGAAACGTGCCACGTTCGTTTCGCTAATGTTCGCATGTCGAGTTCACAGACCCAAATATCGTTAAAATCCACCACTAGAACAATGGCGACCTCGTTAAATCGAAAATTCCTATATTTTTAATAGACATACACTCCGTTTTTAAAACGGCCATAAAATAAATACTTTATAAAAACATATATAGTATACGTACGTCGTACTGTGTACAGTGTACACGTGCGAAATCATACTCGTTTTTATTCACACAGTAATAAACTTGTAGGTGTATAAGCTGTTCAGTATACACTCCCTATAATATTAATTGCTACCATAATAATAATAACGGGAGAAATTTGTTTGCAATTGAAACTTTGGCATTTACGTAGGTATACCAAATTCCGTAAACAAAAAACATTATTTTATAAAAACGAAACAGAATGCATGGGTTTAAAAAAAGTCTTTAAATAAATCTTCAGTCTTAAGTTTACTCGGACTAATTACAACTATATAGCTGAACTGCTCAAAACACACATTTCAATAACAATAATCGTCTAATTATTAGGTGCGTGAACTATAATCAGTATAGATGCTTTTACCGCTCAGGTTTTCTAGACCCGACGGCTATTAATGATATCAAACCGAAAAGATAACACAACCATTATACAATTATTATTATTAAAACGTGTCCGAAAATTACATTTTAACAACCATTTTTATAATCTACGCGTGTTTTAATTATATATTATAATTTGATAAATGCTGTTTTAACGAAGTGCTTAGCAATTATCGTTGAAATATTCGTAATTGTGTTTAAATAATACTTGTGTTTAAAACAAACTTATATATTATGTGGTTCACGGCGAAGCGTTTAAATCTCCATACAGGTTTTATTGACCAGTGCAATATAATATATAAGTATACGCGTGTCTTAATATTTACTGCAACCGTAAATTTGGAATTATGCATATTATTTAGAATAAAATCTGTGCGGTGAAAAATACATTATTCCAAATCATATAGTGGGATTGAGTGCATAACTTATGATTTATGTTTGATATACTCCTGATCGATTTATTATATTATACTCTTTAGTAGTTGTAACTTTCAACGTGATACATTATAGGAGTTTTAATATATTTTCACTTATTAATGTAATACGAGATAACTAACTCAACTATGCACTGGATAAAAAAAACATTCACTCTTTAGTCACACGAATTGTATTTCTTTACAACCAACGATAAGACACATAAATTAATAAATTAAAATATTATTTCAAATTGTAATAGGTAAACTGCATTGAGGTGATAATATAGAGTTCAGAAATATCCAATATTGCAGTCCGGAGTCTAAAGAGTGTGCATGCCAAGTTTGGGTTAAAAATTAAAATAAACAGCATAGGAGCTTAAATAATATTGTAGATTAAATAGAGTAAAATTTTTTTTTTGAATTTCTCATTGTTACATCAATGATATAGATATTTTCGTCATGCAACGATTTATTTATTTCTAATAATGAAATGATGTAGATTAATTTCTAAATAAATTATGTCTAGTGCGTATCAGTCGTCTGATCTATTTTTCTTAGACTTGAGGTTCAGGGTATCATACTCCACCGACATCCTGAAATTATGATCGAGATAAATATCACAATATTATAAAAACCACAAAAAAAACCTAGGGTGTGGTTATGGGCCGAGATCTGATGCAGCTGCAGTAGTAGGCCGTAGGGCAGCGACCAATACTTGTTTGCGGTGGCTAGACAAAGCGTTTACATAATAGGCAATAATGTACACTGTACACAACTGCAAACCGTTATTGGTATTTATTCAAACAGAATTTCGTTTGACTAACAAACCCATTCAAAACGTTCTTCCTACACGCGAGCATATACACGCCGAACCGTATACAAATTATGGCACACGTTGCAGTGTGTGTGTAAATATTATTATCATATTATACACAGTGGCCCCCGCTTGAATGGACCACAAAACCAGTTTATGCGCTGGCGTTATTTGAAAAAATAAACTACACGTAAAGTACGTCACAAAATTAAATGTGTATTTTAAACATTATAAGTATACGTTATTGTAGCACACGTCGAGCCTATAATAGAAAGGCGATTTTCTTCTTTTACCAATTTCGTGCGGCATAGTTCACTATATGGCTGCGATTAAGGTGAATACGGTTAACCGTCTGTGTATGTAAATTTTGCCACAACATCTAGCGGACACGATCGCTGCAGCCAGCCGGTCCATAAAGTTTATATGTATATATATGTACATAATATGTGTTAGGTATATATAATACACGTATTTATTATACCGGGTGATTTTTTTTTTATGCGAATTAAATTATTTATATAGCAATGTTTATTTTTCAGAGAGACTATAATATTATTATTATCATGTGAAGAAAAAATAAGCTCATAACCTGTGTTGTTCAAACATCAAAACAAAAAACATATATATACATATACTATACTTTAATTTTCTAATAATTTCGTAAAATAACCAATAGTTCTAGTTTTTAGTTTTCAAAATAATATATTTTAGAACTTTTAGAGCAATATTTCGATGTGCATATTTTGTTCGTTTCAGACAGATATATTATTATATTTAAGTCAAGCAAATAGTTGATGAAATGTAATTAATAATTGCATAAAATATTAGCTGTATAAAAGTAGAAACAGATTTATTAGATACACTTAATTTCATTTCACCGGCCAAAATTTTTAATAGCTATTATTAATAAGGAATTAAATCAGATATAAGATTTAGACACGAATTCCTAGATACCTAATAGTATAATATAATATTATCAACATTTCATAAAATAAAATCTTAATAAGACATTTAAGTATGAATACTAATTATAGATTGCTATTAAAAAAATTGAAAGTTGCTACAGCTCTAATCAAGTAATGGTATGGCGTGGGGGATACAATTTATAGTGAAAATCAATAGTTAAAAGTAAAAAAAAAAAATAACGAAAAATAACGTTATTTTTGTATGCTATGCTTACACAGCCTGGCCAGGTTCTAAAATAACCACCCTGTATAGAATACACAACCGAGGCGAGTCGACATCACGAATGAAACACCGGCTCTGGTGTCAGAGAGCTTGACAGGTGGATTGTAGGGGGAGAGTGGAGGTACCGTCGTGGGAATACGTGACAAGGGAAAGTACACGCGATCTGGTGAAGTTTTTAGATTTTTTCTTTTTTTATGCCCATACGAATTCCCACATCTGGGAAGAAGCGAATGACGATCAACTTCGTCGGATAGGGGAAAATCCGCATCGGCAACCGGTTCAGACACAACGACGGCGACAACGATGACGACGACGACGACGGCGACGAGTGTCGCAACGTTTCCCTCGCCCAGATCGCAAATAATATAGTCATGATGTCGTATAATATCGGAACGCGAGCGCGCCGTGCAAAAAATATTATATTATTATACACTTTAGACGTGAAATCAGCTTCGTGCAACGACCATATAATACACCTCGAAAATAAAACTTAGCGTTTACCATTGCAACAGCACGTATTATAATAGTGATAAAAATAATATGCCCGGACGCGCTCATCCATTTTTTGATCCCGTGGTGTAATGTAGATGTACCTATAATAATAAAAAAAAGAAAAAAACAATAATGTACAGGGTGAATCGAGCGTGGTAAACTCCGTGTTTCCCTTAAATAAAGGATTGCATTCAAATGCGGTACGATAACATTGAAGTATTTGAAAATATGGTTCTTAACTGTAGGTACTTGAATGTTCTAATAACAAGAATTTGAGTAAATTCATTGCAAGAAAAAACTGGGGTGAACATGCTTGGCGAATCATCCCGAGTACACCCTCCGGGGTGACGGGGGATATGGACTATTTACCGCGGGGTCGACATAACAGATCTCCGAAGATATTATAATATAATACAACTTTAATGCAAACCCTAAAATCGCTTTGTTTATAGAAACGCATAGTTAATAAAACGGCGAGAATAGAATTATATAATAAACTAGAAAATCAAAAAAGTCACGTATATACGATAATAGTGATAATACATTGTAAGAAAAAATCATTGTAATAATACGTATTTGGTATGTACACTAAATTACACGGTCCAGTGCTTCTAACAGTCAATAAAAATACCTACAGGCTATAATATTGTAGTTTTTAACATAGTGTAAATATTTGGTAACGGATGCCTCTAAATCAAATACCTGTGTACGTGCCTAATATTGTTATGTATAGGCGACTATATAATAGTATAGTACAACACCTGTTAGCAGTACGCACTTGATTGGTTATGCAGTTTTTTCGAGCATTAAACGTAGATATCTCACATTTTTTTTTTCTTACCAATTTTGCACCCCGAGAAGGAGAATAGCATATTAAAAACCTATACCCTTTAATTCCTTTTTGAAATATTTTTACATATTATTCGTTTAAATAATAATTAATATACCGTCCGGCGATTGGTTTAGGGAGGCTCTGAGTGAAGTGATTCCGCAAATCCCTGATATAATACATGACAATAATATAAGATTATAATCTTAGAAGTTCTCGTTAGTCGTGAAATATAGGCAAAGCCAAATCCAATTGAAAAGAGCTTTCATAGATTATACCAAATCATTATAGATTATGAGCTATACGACTGTCGCATAAGTCAATATACTAATAGTGACATAAATTACTATAAGCATCACCTATACAATAGAAGTCTATGAAGCAAATGAGCATCAAAAATGTTATGATCATAAAATGCCATCGTCCCGACGAAGGAGGTGTGTCTTTTCTAAAACACAACGGTGTGTACGGTGTGGTTTTATTGAATGTAATTATTAATGACTCTAATTATATTGTTTTGCTTCTTTCAGTTTCCGATATTGTCCATATAAT